CAATGCGTAAGACTTCAGTTACAATTTTGTTTCGCAGCTGCGCAATAAACTTACGATTGATTTCACGAAACTTGGCGTAGCTACGCAATGTTTTAAATAATTTAAACATCGTGGATGAAGATTAAAACAGCATTTACGACGGCTGTTTGTCTGTGAATTTGTTCGTTTGCGAAACAGTCGTTGGATCACCTCAGCCCACCATTTTGATTATTATTTTGTCCGACTTTCTTCGGAAACGTTTTGCAACTCTAAAAATGTTAAGAGTAAAATAGAAATTCATTTTCTTCAAACATACAGTTAAGAGTGTCTTGTATCAACCTGAGTTGTGCAATAACAAGCTCCACGCCAGTCCCAATTCAATGGTAAAATATGTCACTTTTACTTGTTACGCCACCTAAAATGATTAGGCAAGTTATGGACATGTACGTACTATCTGACTTTTGTGAAGTGTCATAAGGGAAATTGCGCACCTTGAAATGTTGCGCAACTTACTCAATAAATTTGGGTGCATGCAGAGTTGCTCCATTGCGTAAGGTTTCGTGAAATCGGCTGCAGGTAACTTGACTTGTGATTTAACTTGTGACTGATCTGATTACAACTCTGCTCAAAACAGTGAAGTCCTCTTCTGCTTACCGCCAATCCTGGATGTTCAAGTTCACGTTAGCTCCTTCTCCAAGTTTCTTCTCCAGTTTTTCAAATTCCTCGTTGAAAACCTGATCAGCCTCATCCTCGGGTATCTATAAGGAAAAAAGTAACAAAATTTCTGTTCAAAACAAAATGTCTTCATACCTCTATAGCCAAAATTTATGTCCATGTGATGCTGCAAATGTTTGGCGATTAAACTTTGGTTCTTCTTGTTTTCTGAAGTACTGAATGGTTATCTTTGGTTGGAGTTATACCTTGGAGAGAATTATTTTGTTTTGAAACTGCTTTTACATGTATACCAAAATTATTAACTTTCCATGTGGCCTATACTTCAAAACTTTTGAATAGCTTTGAACCCTAAGCAGGGTAGACTGCCTCATGATCAACAGAAGGCACCTTTGGGAACTCTACAGAAAATGTTGCCAATTTAATCTATACTGAGCACTGCCAGTCTTAAGGCCCTGTCTGCCTGTCACACTTTGCGAATACAGCTAACGTGTGCCCGACGTTTTTGGAAATTTGGGTGTACATTCATGTAAGTTGTCAGGGTTTTTGGTCTTCAAATAAAACACTGCTTGTAAAGTAAGTCCATCTGAGTAAGTCCTTGGCTTTAAACAAGCCTATCTTTGACTAATCAGCAGTAAAGTCTGTTTGGCTTAAACCTGTTTGAGAGCTACATTCGTAATCTGTGCATCTAAACAAGAGTGGGCTGTTGACGGTACCAGTATTTCTGCGGTATGAAGGTCAGGAAGTTTTAAATGGGGAAGGAACAGGGAAACTCTAGAAGCTTACCCGCTTCTCTCTGTCATTTCAGCTGCAAAAAGGAGATTCTGTCTTAATCAACTGACTGACCAGAAGAGAGAGAGGACGCCGATGGTGATCTGGAACGATCTGAATATCGATGTTGGCCCTGGCGTTGCTCTCCTGAGTCAGAGCAGGAATGCCAGCTGGACCGTGAATGAGCATACGTAACATGCCACGATCTCCCCACAGTGAGGTGGCAGGCGTGGTCTCTGGAGCGATGTAGAGAGAGTGACCTGTGTCCAGGCAGAGAATTCCCATGATGCGGCGTTATTGGTATGAAAATCCCACCGGTAATTCCATGGAAATATCTGCAGATTATATGGAACCCCGCGTGGTAGATACGATGCGTGTGTTGTTGTAGTCTAACTGACCAGGGTCATTAGAGAAAGAAGTGTACACTTGAGGTTGAGAGTGATGGAGAAAAACTTGCTGTTCCCCCAGAAAGCTTGGTTATGTGTATGACCATGTTGCCGTAGTATGGTCGTTAAAACGTGATGACTGTGATGAGGGTGGTGCTCCTAGGACTTGCCTCTGTGACCGGGCAGGGCTGGTCGGTTGTTAGACTGACCCAGTGGTGTTGAACGCCAAGCTCCGGCGTCCTGCAGGCACATGTAGGCAAACCTCCAATTCTTGCATGTGCTCTCAAAAACTACTGAAGGTGTACAGGATTTGTTGGGGGAACAGCACATGCTCTGGTTGCCGTTGAACTCGTTCCAAGGTATTTCTGACCGTCTTACCACGACGGGTCACACCGGTCGTGGCGGTAGAAATATCATGCTTGGAGTGTTGACTG